TTTCCAGTGAACCTTTTCCAAGAAAGATTGTAGCAGAAAATTTATTAGCATTTTAGCACTTTTGCTCATTTGCAATTCACTGGTGCTATTTTTTCTTAAATTGTAGAGCACTTAGAAATACGTATTTTGATAACAGGGCAGTAGATGCTTAAGAAGTCAATGCAATGACCCATAGAAACTCTGTGTCCTTATTAACAATGCTGGCATTTTGAACACTAGTGAAACACAAAGAAGCAAAGGAGGGGAAAAATCCTTTCCACATTTATATATATATTTTAAAAAAACAACCTTGTTTTGTTTTTCCCCAACCACATTGTAGACTTTCTTGAAACCCGGCGGTGCCGAAGCAGGGAAACAAAACAAAACAAAATCTGCTGACTTTATTAAAATATTAACAAGGTATAGTTATAACTTTTGTACACTTATGCAAATGAGATTGCCAGAACAAGAGGAAGGAAGAGCATCCCTCCCGGGAGGAAGAATACAAAATCAACAAAGTGAAAAGATCAACCATCCCTTCTGCAGTATGACAGCAAGACACAAGAGGCGTCAGCTTGGGAATTGGGGAAGATAAATTAAAAAATATATACGCAGGCATGCTCACCCCTCCAAAGTTTAAGTACATCACAGTTTATAAAGCTAATAGATTTAAATGAGGCAGAGTGCATGCACCATTCCATGAAATTATTATATTTACCAGGGGGCTCGAGGAACATTTTGGGAGAAGTATTCGTCATATAAAATACATGCGATGAGGAAGGCTGAGAATAAAAATGTTTTAGTTGTGTGTGCCTCTTAAAAGTATTTTTTAAGAGTAGCTCTGTACTGAAGGTCGAAACTCAACTTTTTGAGGAGATTTTATCCACAAACTGCTGTTAACCAAGCATGATCAAGTGCCCTGAAATCTCCTTATATTAAGAGCCAAAACCGCATCTGTTCAGCCACAGATTGCTGGAACAGGAGGGTGCAGGCATCCAAGAGGGAGTTTCTAGAGTCCTTGTGCCTGAGGCTGGCCTAAGGTATCTGACAGCATCAGGGGAATGTGGACTGCAAGCTGTCACTGCCACCCCCACCGAGAAATTGCCAGGCAGGTTTTTTACCTGTGTATCTATATGGCAGAACTGCCGGAGGTTAAGTGGTTTGAGCCAC